TGGACATTACTTAAGAAGAGCAAGCCTTTTCATCTGTGTCTAATTTAAAAGTGCTGTTCTCAAAAGTGAGGAAGTTTTGATCACTCAGAAGAGATTTTATCTTGCTTGTGATCATTTTTAAAAAGCAGTCTCTGTCTGCCATTTTAGATAAAAAGAAAGAACCTCATGATGTAAGGAATTTTGACTACACTGCTCGAAGCTGGACCGGAAAATCACCCAAACAATTTCTAATTGACTGGGTCAGGAAGAATCTCCCCAAGAGTCCAAACCCTTCCTTTGAGAAAGTTTCAGTTGGTAAATACTGGAAATGTAGGTAAGTTTTTCTGAATAACTGAATGAACTGTAAAAAAATGGAAGATGAAATATGCTGCTTCTTGTGAATAAAAAAAAATAGCTTGACTGCTCACTGCGAGGTTAGTACTTTGAACTTAGCAGTCTCGCTGTGGAAGTGAAGACCAGCTGACCTGTTTCTGTAAATACTGCAGCCTGGAACCCCCCATGGGGCAGTGCAGCTCTGTCCTATAGGGACACTACGAGTAGGACTCAACTTAATGAAACACAATAAATACCTTTAGGAAGCCTTCTGATTCCTCTCTCCAGTTAATAGTGTTTATTAGACTATTATCTAATGCACTGCCTCCCACGGACATACTGAAATGATTAATTGTAAATTCAGGTTCAGAATTCTGATCTTTTTTTTACAGAATTCTGTACAGAAATGATGTTAGTTACAGAAGAGAGTTCAGGTCTTTTTTGTAAAACTTACTCTCAGTCATATTCAGCTTGATGACACTTAACCACTGCTAAATTAAACTAGTGCTGTTTATATCTGGTACATACTCGTCCACTTTGTAAATCACTCTTTGTCAATGTGCAAGGTAAAGTAACCTTGGTTGCTTTGATGCTGAACCTTGTGCCATTGGGGTATCAAATACCAGAATGGTTTCCCGATGTGGACAGTGTTTGGTGGAGCTCCCAGTTGTAAAACAGGTTTGGAAGCAGGAGTGACATCCAGTTCCTAAACCACATGCCTCTGGAAACTCTATGAACTAGGAATTGAACATAGTTATGGAAGGGCATTGGGTCTTTTGTTCATAGAGTTGCTATGAGTCGTGCTTGACAGCAATCAACAACAACAATTTTCTTTTTAAAACTTTTTTTTTCTTCTTTATAGGGTTAGGGTAATCAAGTCTGAAGATGATGTCCTGGTAGCATGTCCTACAATTTTAACTGAGGATGGCATGCAAGCCCAGCACCTTGGAGCTACTTTAGCCCTTTATCGTTTAGTGAAAGGGCAGGTGAGAATTTTTAAATCTAAGTGTTTCCAAAATCTTTGTGAATATTTCAGGAGGAAACACTATCTTTGGGTACAAGTGGTATTTTATTAAGGCTTTCTTTGCCGACTTTATTTTTACTAACGGGTTCTTCACCCAAGATTTTGGCTTCCTGTCACCTCAAAACATAGCTCTGTCTTCCTCTACTTCTTTAGACCAGATGTTGGAAAGAAACAATTTTAATTTGTCTTAACTTTTCAGTTTAACCTAGTTTACAGATTCAAAAGAGCTGTACTGTTGCCAGATGCTGTCCAGTTGACTTCAACTCATACTGACTCTAATGCAACAGAGTGAAAACTGCCCTGTAGTGTTCCCTCGGCTATAAACTTCATGGGAGCGGAAAGCCAGTTTTGTCTTTTGAGAAGCTACAGGTGGATTCAAACTACCAGCCCTTGGTTGCAACTGATTGCATAGCCATTGTGCCCTCAGTTCCTTTTTTAAAAAATTGTGACATCATAATTGAATTTAGGAGATTTTTTTAAAGAGCCTTTTTCCTGTATTGTAATTTTAAAAATATCATATAAATTATAGTTTATATTAATTGTAAATGCCAGTTTAAGATTAAAATAAAGTATTACTGAAAGACACTCTTTTTTTTTTTTTTTAGGACGCTCTTTTAAGAGAATACTATGCTAATTCTGAAAATTATATGTTGCCAGCAATTCATTTTTACAATAGGTGTGTCCTATATGTCTTTCTTCTAGGAAATTAAAACCACAAAAAATTTTAGACATTAATTCAGTAGAAGTCCAAACACTAGCTCTTTTCCAACTTCTTTCAGTAAAAGTTCTTTATGACTTTCATTTTGCAAAATTAGGTACATAAGCTTAGCCTTCTTGATAGAAATAATTACCAGTGTCAGAGAAGTAATAACAGACTCTCTTATAGCACAGAATTAGGAAAACACATTATATCCAGTGTAGTTCATTGTAACATCAACCAACTGCTAGGATTTCAAAGGAAACGTTATAGTTAGGTTCTTTTATGTTTTAGAAATGCATTATGGATCATCTGCCAATTTACATAGAACCACTATAGGGATAAATAATAGGAATTTATTTACTAGTTTATGGTGTTCCATGAATAAGCACTTTATATGTATTAACTTATTTACTCTCACCATATGCCTATGATGGAGGTACGATTATTGAACCAGGTAATAACTTCCTAGTTTTAAGAACTGGACAGATTACATGTTAAGAGGAACATAACTATCTGTCTTACCTGTTGACTATTTGAGCATCCACCAGTTAATGAAAATAATGTACTCCTGTTTTTCCCTCTGCAGTCGGTTCATCAGTTGCTCCCTCCCACTTACCGAGATGTTTGGCTGGAGTGGAGTGATGCAGAAAAGAAAAAAGAAGAATTAAATAAGATGGAAAGCAACAAACCACGTGATCTTTTTATTGCTAGACTTCTGAATAAATTGAAACAGCAGCAGCAACAGCAACAACAGCATTCTGATAATAAGCGAGAAATTTCTGAAGATCCTGAAGAATCTTGGGAGAACTTAGTTTCTGAGGACTTTTCTGCACTGTCCACGGAGTCAGCAAATGCAGAAGATTTGGAGCCTGTCAGAAACCTCTTTAGAAAGTTACAAAGCACCCCAAAGTATCAGAGACTTCTAAAGGAAAGGCAGCAGTTACCTGTGTTCAAACACCGAAATTCCATTGTTGAAACTCTAAAGAGGCATCGGGTAGTGGTTGTGGCAGGTGAAACAGGGAGTGGGAAAAGTACTCAGGTACCACATTTCCTATTAGAAGATTTGCTTTTGAATGAATGGGGAACGAGTAAATGTAACATTGTCTGCACGCAGCCCCGGAGAATTTCAGCAGTGAGTTTAGCCACCCGAGTTTGTGAGGAGCTGGGCTGTGAAAATGGTCCTGGAGGAAAGGTGAGAGGCTGTACATCTCCACTTGATGATATTATTTACCTTTGCTCTTTAGAGCCAGATGACATTCATATGAATTGTGGGTTTTACTGGTAGTTCAAAAAGGAGCAGTGGTGCAGTGTAGCATAGCACAGGACAGTTTGTTTCTTACTCATATTCGTGAGATTGAAACAATTGAACTACCTTTTGTCTCAGCATCTTAAAAGAAAAAATTTGCTTAAAAGCAACAGACCAAACCTTACCACTTTCTATAATTAAAGACCATGGAAAAAACAATTCATTTAAGTAATTTTATTTCATTTTTAATAACAGTAACAAATTGTATTCATGGGATGGGGGTAATTAATCGTAGGGTCACGAGATTTGATGAGGGGAGAGTGGAGAGAGTAAAGAAGATGGGAACAATACTTTGTGAAAAACAATGTATACAAACTTCGTAAGTAAACCAGTATTAAAAGAAAAAAGCCACAGAAGAGAAAAAAAGGTAAAAAAAAAAAAATCTCATCCTGATGAGATGATGTGCTTCACATATTAGGTAGACCAGCACTTACGCTTCACTTGCTAAAGCTTGTTTCCCAGATTGTTTCTGAAAAATTAATCTTCTTCCCTCAGAATTCCTTGTGTGGATACCAGATCCGAATGGAATCTCGAGCGAGTGACTCCACCAGGCTACTATATTGTACAACAGGGGTTTTGCTAAGGAAACTTCAAGAAGATGGTCTTCTAACTATGGTGTCTCATGTTATAGTCGATGAGGTGAGTCGGTTCTCCAGCTGGGTCCACATAGGTTCTTAGGATTTATGCTTTTACAACACTGCAGACTATGGCACCAGAGCTCTGGTTCTAAAGACTTTTGTATTATAAAGATGCCCTAATACTAGGTAACTTTTCTTCCTTACTAAATGGAAGATGGTTTACTTAAAATAATGTATTTAAGCTTGTATAAAAAAATGCCTATATTGTTATAGATCTACTCCATTTCATAAATACTGTAAAATACTTACTATATACTAACCTTCTAATTACTTTGTATGTATTAATTTTATCTTCCCAGCGACTCAGTAAATATTTTTTAATTCGTTTGCTTAAATTCATATACATTGTACTTTACACTCTCTTCCTTCACATTGTGTTTCATATAATCATTCTCATGCATTCAGTTTAAAATACTAATTTTTGTTTCACAGTTGAGGAAACTAAGGCACAGAGAGATCAGATAACTGGCCAAAGGTCACAGTTTGCTGCATAGCTGAGTGTTCAGACACTTGGGCAGTGTGCTTTTATCACCACCCTGTCAACTGTACTTTTAGTTATGTTCAAGAAACTTCTCAAAATCTTAGCAAAAACAAAGAATTTTCATCCATACATTATTTTCTCTGTAGACCTATTTGAACCATCTTTGAATGCACATTTAAATTGAGTTATATCCAAAGGTCCACATAAAATTTCTTTTAAATAGCATAATAATATAATATTTGTAATTGATCTGCATAACACATAATTTTCCAAGAAGACATGATATGTGGTATTTTTGTAACTCAGAAACTATTTTCATTTCATCTTCCCCAAAATAGCATTTTATCAATGTCTGTAAATTCATTTAGTTTAAAAGACAGAAGTTGTTCAATCATTCATTCTGTTTTACTTAATAGACTTCATAAATGTACTGAATTATTTAAGTTAGAGAACACTAGATATATAGAAAAGTAGAAAAAGTTCTTAATTCAGATATTCTGACATTCTGGTATATTCTTTATCCTGATTTTGGGTTCACAAAGTATGGCTACTGTGTAAACATACTTGTTTTTTATAAACAGAGCTCAAGTGTTATAGTGCATAAGAGTTGCACTGCAACCCAAAAGTCACACATCTCTAGAGGTTCAAATCCACCAGTATCTCTAAGGGAGAACGAGGGTAGCCTTCTCCTTGTGTGATATACAGCCTCCAAAAACTTGCTGGAGTGTCAGCCACAAGGTGATTCCAACTTAATGGAATGAGTTTGAAGGTTTTCCCCCCCATTTGTTCGTTATAAGCAACATATAAAGGAATCTCACAGATATTTTGGTAATATATACAGGATACCGATACGACTCATAGTGATCTTACGAGCAGCGTTGCCCTGAGCCATCCTCACCAGCTGCCCCACGCTGAAGCTCATTGGTGTCTTCACGACGTCAGTCCATCCCATTGAAAGTCATCTTTTTCTTCTCCGACCCTCCACCTTTCCCGGCTTGAAGTCTGGCCAAGGCCTGGCCCCTCCTGAAAACATGCTCAAAGAATGTGTGAGACATTCAGCATCCTTGCCTCTAAGGAGCACTCTGGTTGTTCTTCCTCTGAGACAAATTGTATACTTAGCGTACTTCACCAACACCACAATTCCTTAATGGAGGAGAAAATTATACTGTTACCATCATGATGTCAAGAAGAGAGAGGACAGATGACTCCTTAAGCCAGCCCACAGAGTAACCACTTCATAGGGGGCCACAGTTTTCTTTGTGTTGATGAGACCTAGATTTTATCATCGGTATCCTCAAGAATATCCTCTCTTTAGTACTGAGAATTTTTTTTATTACTAAATAAACTTAAGTGTTTATATAAATCAGTTTATCCTCTTAGAATCCTAAATTACTACCATGAAATTGCTTAGTAATTACATGTTAATATTAACTCTTACTTAGAAGTTCTACCAATTTCAGAAAGCTGTTCTTGAAGGTTTAATGTTAACAGTCTATAATAAAAGATGTGATTAATTGTTATGAGTCTTTTAGTAGCCAAGTGTTTTAACCTCTTTCTACATTTCCAGCAATTTCACTAATTTCACATGAAAGCAAAATCTTACTGAAAATTATCCAAAAATGACTGGAACAGGACATTGACAGAGAACTGCCAGAAATATAAGCTGGGTTTCAAAGAGACTGTGGCAGAAAGGATATTAATGCTCATGTCACATGGATCCTATTTGAAAGCAGAGAGTACCAGAAGGATGTTTATTTGTGTTTTATTGACTATGCAAAGGCATTTAATTGTTTGGATCGCAACAAATTCTGGCTAACATTAAGAAGAATGGGTATCCAAGGACACTTGTTTGTGCTCATGCAAAGTCTGTACCAGATCAGGAATCTGTTGCCTGAACACAGCAAGGGAACACTGCATGGTTAAAAATCAAGAAAGGCATGCATGAGAGATGTAGCATTTCACCATACCTTTTCAATCTATATGCAGAACAGATCATTCAGGTTCTATGGAATGGACTCCATGAAGAAGAATGTGGCATGAAGATTCGAGGAAAACTCATCATCATTCTGCATCATGCAGTTGATGCAATTTTGCTCACCAGAACTGAAGAGGACTTGAAGCATTTGCCACAGAAGATCAAAGACTGCAGCCTTCATTATGAATTGTATCTCAACATCAAGGAAACAAAAATCCTCACAGTGGGCCAATAGGCAGCATCTTGATTGAGGTTGTTAATGATTTCATCTTGTTCAGATCCACAATCCACATTGTTGGCACCAGCAGTCAGGAAATCAGAAGATGAGTTGCATTGGGAAAATCTGTCAAGGATCTCTCCAGAGTACTAAAGACCAATGATGTCAGTCTAAAGACTAAGGTATGCTTATCCAAACTGTGGTCTTCTCACTTGCCATGCATCTGAGAGCTGAACAATGACTAAGGATGACAGAAGAGTTGATTGATGCCTTTGAATTGTAGGGCTGTACCATGGGCTGCCAAGAGAACAAGTTTGCTCCTTGGAGGCAAAGATTTTGGAGCTCCATCTTACTTTGGGCATGTTGCCAGGAGGGACCAGTCCTTGGAGAAGGACATCATGCTTGGAGGAGGGGTAGAGGGTCAGCACAGGAGAGGAAGTACCTTGATGAGATGGATTGATGCAGTTACTATGACATTGGGATCAGGTGTGTCAGAGACAGTGAGATTTGTTCAGGATAATACAAAGTTCAGAGCCCTAGGATTATTATGAGTCATAATTGATTTGTTAGCACATAAGAACAATGACTAGACATTACTTATACTTGTGTATTTTTTGCATTCTTTTTATACTAGGTTCATGAAAGAAGTGTCCAGTCAGACTTTCTACTGGTTATCTTGAAGGAGATTTTACAAAAGCGTTCCGATCTACACTTAATACTAATGAGTGCCACTGTGGACAGTGAAAAGTTTTCTACTTATTTCACACACTGTCCCATCCTTAGAATTTCAGGAAGAAGTTACCCTGTTGAGGTAAATTTTCTTTATAATGTGTACATAAGCAGATACCATGTCACCCAAGGGTTCTGTAAGCCATGAGAGGACTTGGGGAATGAAGTGATTGAAAGAGAGAGGGTTCTGTTGGAAGAGATCAGAGGGCTAGAAGTTATAGACTACATTTCCTATCAAAATCTATGTCCACGTTGAGAGTGGCTGCCTGGCAGCCAAATTATTTTCAACTCCTCCGCAAATTTAGAGTTGTCTTTTTTTGTTTGCAACTTCCTATCATAAGCCTAATCTATTCTTCTTTTTCCTTCATGATTTTGAGGTTTTTAGGAAAGTTAATTTCAATTGGTAACAGAACTCAATTTCTCAGTCAAGACAGCTTCCGAAGCCTACTCTGATGGTCTTCAGCCCTGAGCCTCATGGATGTAGGCCAAGGTTACAAAGCTCTTGTTGTGTACCATCTAGTTGGATCTGACCCATAGTTGACCCTCAAAACTTAATCTATTCTTAACGCTTAAAACTTTTGAGTCACATGATGAAGACTATGTAAAAATGCACGCCATGTGTAATTTGTTCTGAGAACTCTAGGAACAGACCCATCTACGTCAATTGAGTTCTTTATTCCCACATAAGGCTGAAAAAACCCCTTTTCATAGTATACTGAACTAGTCTGTCAAAAGGTTATAATCCCCGTGGTCCTCCTAAGATGGTATTTACTGAATGGAATTTGGCTTCTCTCATTAATAAATCTTATGTGCAGGTTTTTCATCTTGAAGATATAATAGAGGAAACAGGCTTTGTGCTGGAGAAAGACTCAGAATATTGCCAGAAATTTCTGGAAGAGGAGGAAGAAGTAACCATTAATGTTACAAGCAAAGCAGGGGGAATAAAGAAATACCAGGTAAAAATAGAAAGAATGAAGGCAACATAGTGGAGTGGACTTAGGGGGTGGGATTGTATAACAATGAAATAATTTTTCTTTTACTTTTCAAAGAGAAGAGCAAATTAGGGGGAGGAATGGGCAGGGAGAAAAGTGCAACAATGAATGAATGAAAATCCACTGTCTCTGTAAACTTTCATTAAAATTAATAATAATAAAAAAGAAAATATTTTAAAAACTTGGATGTGTGGCATATGCCTGACAGAGTGAATTCAAGCATAACTTGCTAGAGGAGGAAGAGATACAGTTATGAGTAAATGTAAACAGTCATTTCTTGAATATCTCAGATTTGATCTATGGTCTTGGGTTGATGGCATTTTAGTGGTCTTTTTACACTATCCTGGGCCATAAAAATACACATACATAACCTAGGATCATGTAAGTAACAAGCAACTTTAGAAAAATTTTCTGGCAATAATGAAATATTAAATATGTGATGATTCTCTCTTTGTCCCAACACTATAAGATGAAGTTGGCTCCAAATCTTGATCTTGGTTATTGGCTTTCTCAGAACTTCTAGCCTGGCAGGATCCAGCCTCAACTGCATATTGAAGCCATCCAGGACTAAACTTAATCTTAGAGAATTAGTCTCCTTATATGTTGTTAGTAATAGCACAAAAGCCATGTTATAGTCAGGGGCACTAGATCCATCTTCGTTAGTGGCTCAAGATCCAGCATTTTCATTGCATCCTTAATATTTCATTTCTATTTCACTGTATACCAATATAAGCATAAAATTAACATTACTTATAATTGAGCAAAATAAACCAAGAAAACAGAAACTAATAAAACTCCATAGACAGAAATTAAAAACTAAAGAAAGACTTCAGAAAATTGTAGACATTTTAGAACAAATATGATTAGAACCCAGAAGCCAGAGTAGAATCTACAGTGAGTCAGGTAGAAAAGACATATTAAAGTTTTGAGCTTCCTTGGCCTGGCTGCTTTTTAATTGCCAAAGAAGGATATGTGCTGAATTTGTTAAAATAAAATAATTTTACCTACATTTATGGGCTGGGTGAAATTAAATTATAGGAAAAGTTTGCAGTTTTCTTAACTTTTAAAAATACCATAAAAATGACACTTAGAAGATTTTAATATTAAAAAAAATCAGAATAATAGATATTTGAATGAACATAAGTATCTTTTTATTGTCTTTTTACAAATATACTTAGTATTTTTTCAGCCTTTTCTTATTGTGTCTCTGTTAGGAATATATCACAGTTCAGACTGGAACAAGTGCTGTCTTAAATCCTTTTTACCAGAAGTATAGCAGCCGCACTCAGCATGCCATTCTGTACATGAATCCTCATAAAATCAACCTGGATCTCATTTTGGAACTACTGGTATACTTAGGTACTTTTATATTCCTAAAGTCTCATTTATTTTGATTATACTCTTCTAATCAGAGATGTTTTATAAATACCTCATACTCTGTTCCCTATCTTTCTTATGTTTCAGACAGAAGTCCCCAGTTCAGAGGTATTGAAGGAGCAGTATTGATCTTTTTACCAGGACTTGCTCATATTCAACAGTTATATGATCTCCTGTCAACTGACAGAAGATTTTCTTCTGAACGGTAACTACGAATTTTCATTATAGTCTTAGTTGTTTTAAAATAGAAACATCTTTGGTACACTAAAACTCTTGATCAGTTTTAGAAATCTTTACCTTTAGTTAAAATTGCCTATGATATGCTAAGAATTTGTTTTTTAGGATATATTTATTACTGAATTTTACCTGCTGAAAATTCTGATTTACTATATCTGTATTTGTTCTGTTTACTTGCTTTGGTTAAGCAGAGGGAGCCATGTGTTTTAAGATGCTGGTTCCCCGCCTTGAACCCACTAGATTTTGCAAAACACATTTATTATTTACTATATCTGTTTTGATATAACTTAGTACTGTTGTCATGATTATAACTTCAAAATCAGAACATTTAAAAAATTCTTTTATTTCCATATTTGAATTTTAAAAGTTTCCTCTACGATGTGTATTTATGGGATTCATTGTACTATTCTCTGAACTTCTGTGTTGAAAATTTTTCATAATAAAGAATTTTGAAGTTGATTTCTATTTGCAAATAAATTTTATTATTCTTTGCAGTGCCTTCTAAAGAGAAACTCTTGCTAAGAACTATGATTTTAACTTTCAGATATAAAGTGATAGCTCTGCATTCTATTCTTTCAACTCAGGATCAAGCAGCAGCATTCACATTTCCTCCTCCAGGAGTCAGGAAGGTAAAATTCCATATAACAAATTTACATGTGATCTGCCTTAGACTCATGGAAAAGTTAGGGTTTTTATCATCAGAGACAATTGCTGGTGTTAAAATACCTTACAACAAACTCTGCAACTTAGCATAACATACACCTCAAATTAAAATACAGGTATGTTAATATTTATATTTGAACTATTAAAGAAATAAGGATTTTTTAAGAAAAAGTAGGCATGAATATTGCTTTTCTTTTAAAAAAAAACATTACTTTTAGCCAGAACACATACTGGATGTCAAAGCTATTGAATCCTGGGAAGCGTCTTTGTTCTTCCCATAGGCTCTTTGTCTGATTATTTTTTGCAGTACATGAACTATTGGGTTACTAAAACAAACATCTCAGTATTTTCATTGTCTTTCTTATTTGAGGACTCTAAACAAAGAGATGCTTGGAAAACAGTTTTTTAGATTTAAACACTTTTTCAGAAGATGACAAAAAAGAGTATAAGGTATGCACTAGAAAAAACTCCCAGGAAAGAGCCTGGAATATAACATAGGAGACGGGTGTTAATCCATTAACTGTTAAATCTGTGTGACCTTTGGCCACCCATTCAACCTCACTTTTCTCATTTTAAAAGAGGTTAACTTAAACTGAAGGGTTTGTAACTGCTCTGGAGAAGAACTCCAAGGGTCTGAAATCTGTGTTGTGGTCTGTAATATTTGGATTTCCTTTTAAGATTTTGTTGGGAAGAAAAGAGCTCAGTCACAAAACAAAAACAAAGACAGCAGAAAGCTATTGAAGTAGAATGATCTCTGAATTCTCCTCCAACCTTTTATAATCTGGGTTCTGTTTTATTGTGTAAACAAATAAGAAAGGCAAGCATTCAATTCTGAAATAAACATTTGAGATAAAGCAGTACAAATTAAATGTGATTTTCCTCCCAGGACATAATACAAACATGGTAGTGACTAGAATTAGAGAAATGGTAAAAGAACAAATGATAGAATAAAAATCTATAAGTTTGGTGTAATTGGCAGTTCAGCTGACCAAAGGAATTAGAATAAATTGAAATGGCCCAGTAGTGACAAATTATAAACTTCTGTAAATAATTTTAAATACCTTTTCAAATTCATCTACTCAAACTGTCTAATGATGTTTAAATCATATCATATACTGCTAAGTGGTTATATAAATGATTTGTTACCTAATTTTGATTTTAATCTAAATTCTTTTCAGATTGTTTTAGCAACAAATATTGCAGAAACTGGTATTACCATTCCAGATGTTGTATTTGTAATTGATACTGGACGAACAAAAGAAAATAAGTAAGTTTTAATTTTCTACATCAAAGCACTTTTAGCCTGAAAAGGGTTTGAGGAGCTTCAATTCTTGTTTGAAATCACAAGTATTGTAAGGGCCCCAAAACAAAACCTTCAGGGAAAACAATAAAAAAAAAAACCTTCAGAAAAACCAGTTAGAATTTTATCATATCTTTCACCAGCAGCAATGTGAGTATGCTCCTTATTTTTAGAAAAGAAGTATCTTTCGAATCCACCAGATGCTCTGCCGGAGAAGGAGGCGCAATATCCTCCTGTACCAGTCAGATCTGATTTGACAGTACACGCACACAAAATAAAAAATAAAAAAAAAAAAAAAGGAAAGAAGTATCTAAGAAAAAAAAAATTCCATAAAAAACCTAAAATCCTAAATCAGTTTATAAAATAAATTTTTAAATAAAATTTGTGTTTGAGAATTAAAGAATAAGAGCATAGGAATTGGAGTCAGATTTTAATTTAAATCTGCCCTTGAACCATAAACAAGTAACATAACCTCTCTAGTCACTAGCTTTTTGGAATTAGGAAAATGGAAATGTCATAATGACAGTGCCTCACATATAGTAGATAAATATACTAATTGACAAATATGACTGTTTTATGAGTGTTATGTTTCTATTACATATACAACTGTATATTGTAATCATATGTGTTGTTATTCTATGCCATCAAGTCTGAACCAACCCATACCTAGCCCTCTGGCAGGTTTTCCAAGGCAATTAATTGCACAGGAGGAGATTGTCTCTCCTATTCCCAGAGCTCCCTTGTATTTGTTGTTGTTGTGTACTGTTGAGTTGGAATCAACCCATAGCTGATTCTCCAGCATGTTTTCAGAGGCAGCTAGTTGCCTAGGAGGAGATTGCCTATCCTCCCACAGAGCAGCTGGCAGATTCTAACTGCTTGCCTTTGGGATTGCAGTGCATCTTCTTGCCACTAAGCCATCAGTGCTCCCTAACAGTAGAAAAGTTTAGCAATATTTAGAAGAGAGTATGGCTATCTAATGGGAAAAGAACCTTCAATTCTTTGAATTACACCTTTTGAAGAATGCATAAAATTAGAGGACTAATATTTTTGTTGAAACAAAAAAATCTAACTTTTTAGGGTTTCACTAAATTTCATGAAAGATACTTTAAATTGTAATATTATTCATAGGAGCTTTTCTCAAACTATCTCAGAGAACTCTTATTGCTTATTTAATGGGTGTTCTATCAAAATAGAAAAGATTTCATATTCATGTAAGTTTGGGGAACTAAACATTAAAGTTCTTTAGAACATTTCAGAACCTTTAATAAAAGAGGAGTTAGTATATGATATTTACCAAGTTATATGAGTATGTAATACACTTAGGGAAGTATTGGTCCACAGTAATAATGTACTTTTTCAGACTATTCTTTTTAATGCTGTACCATTTTAAAAACTTCATTGTGGTAAAATTTAACAAAAGACTTCTCATTTTAACTTTTTGTAAATATGTATACTTCAGTAACTTGACCATATTGGCCTTTCACCACTGCTCATACTGTTTGGTGATAAAGATTATACATCACCTCAAGTAGAAATTCAGGACCCTGCAGCAATAGCTCCCATTCCCTTGTTGCCCCAACCCCTAGTTGTTTGTCCCTATACATTGTAGATACTTCATATAGCATTCCCCAACTTTTAATGATGTTCCATTTCTGTAACTCCATCATAAGTTAGTTCTGACTAATATAAGTTGAATAAGCCTCTCTTCCCCCCCCCCTTTTTTTTTTAAAACTTTTCATTATTAATAGTAGGATACTGGTGGTCTAGTGGGTTAGGAGCTGCATTGCCAATTCAAAGTTATATAGTTTGAATCCACTAGCTGCTCTGTGAGAGAAAAATGGACAATTTCCTCCTGTGCAGTTTTACATTGTTTTCATAAATTGTCCTGCTAAGATTAATGAGAACTTTTAAGTCAATGTAGTCCAGCTGTATGTGTATATAATTTCTAATGTGAACAGCTCCATCCATTGCTCAGTTCTCTAATTCTTCTCTAGCCCTTGGGTTCAGATTTGCTAGGAAGTCTCCCAGAGACTCAGACCCATTAGAGGAACAACTCACATGAATGTAGGAATGCCAGATGGTTTTGGAGAAACGAGTGAGTGATGGGCTAGGATCCTGTGGATTGCCATTTGAGACTGTGGGTGATGCAGGCTGGTGGTGTAGAGACTGGTGAACATCTGGAAGCTTTTCCAAAGGAAAAAAAAAAAAACACCTGGCATTGAGATCCCATGAGTTTATATAAGTCTAATAGGATAGAGATAGGTCACATCCCTG